CCCCCCCTCCCCTCGAATTATTTTTTTTCCCAAAAAAACAGCGAAAAAAAAGGAAGAAAGAAAGAAAAAAAGAAAAGAAAGGAAGAAAGAAAGAAAGGAAGGAAACAAAGAAAGAAGAAGAAGAAGAAGAAGAAGAAGAAGAAGAAGAAGAAGAGGAAGAAGGAAAAATAAAAACAAATCGCGCGCCCGAAGGAAGAAACAAAGAAAGAAAGGAAAGAAAGAAAAAAAGAAAGAAAGAAAGAAAGAAAGAAAGAAAGAAAGAAAGAAATGAACAAAGAAGAAAAGAAAGAAAGAAAGGAAGGAAGAAAGAAATGAGGAAAGAAGAAGAAGAAGAAGAAGAAGAAGAAGGAGATGAAGAAAAAAGAAGAAGATGGAGGGAGAGTTGGGTGGAAAAAAGGTCATGGGTTCCGTACCTTTTTTAAAAGCACTGCAGGTGTAAGCAATCACTCTCTCTATACAAAACGATGAGGTCTTCAGCAATCTCTCTCTCTCTCTCTCTCTCTCTCTCTCTCTCTCTCTCTCTCTCTCTCTCTCTCTCTCTCTCTCTCTGCGTGCCAGGGCTCTCGGAGACGTTCAAAGCCTTGAAGAATGTCAATGACCGATAGTAGAGCACAAGCACAGGCCGTGAGGATGGCAACACGAATGACTAAGGAGATGGTGAAAACGGTGTCGTTGTAGATGAAGACAACGAAAAACAACCAAGGAGCATCAACAAGAATAAGGTGAAAGTGGTGTTAAGAGGAGTAGGTAGCGGTAGGTAAACAGAGGCTCGGCCTAGGCCAAGCAAGTGCAGGTCTTGTACAAAAAGGTACCTGCGGTAAACAACCCAAACGAAACGACACCAGTGGCACAACAGGCCTCAAGGTGGGAGGGGAAGGGGATCGGGGGGAAAAAAAAAAAAAACAGACGCACCGTGGCAGCACCGGGTCTCCACACAAAAATTAACCGGTTGCGGCACGGGGCCTTTCCGCACAACGCTTATACACATCTAGATGTGTATAAGAGACAGCATAAGGACCAGTCACCACTCGAGGACGCAAGGAGGAGAAGGATTCGTGGGGAGCGATAGTAGGACCGAAGGAGGAATTGATAGCAATGGCGGTTGAGGGAGGTCGGGAAGCCGTGATGAACTTAGTGGAATCTTGGGAGAAGAAAGAGTTGCAATGGATGGTAAACCAGATGCAGGAGAGAAAGGATGAGGACCACGAAGAGAAGGAGTTTTTCTATGCCCAGACATACGAAGGGATCTTTCGGGAGATCGGGTTGTTGTTGCCTGCTGGTAGGAAACAAACAACCCACGAAAATCAGCACTAAGGCAAGGGAGGAGGCCGAAAGGTACGTCCTAAGGGGCGGCCATCTGTTCCGAAGAGAAGAAGGTGCTATGCCTAGAAGAGTTGTGTGCGGAAGATCNGGGGGTTGGGGATCATGGGCAGTGAAAAAAAAAAAAAAGATCCGGGGGTGCAGGTACATGCATGTCGAAAATAAAAAAGGGCCTCGGCCAGGTCGGTCCGGCGAAAGGGACCCCTCAACTATGCCCCGGCCGTCCCGCAACGTGGCAGCACATGAACACAGGAGCCGCCGGCACATGCGGCACGCACAAAAAAAATCGAAAAAAACAACAGAAACAATAAAAAAAAAAAAAACGAAAAAAAAAAAAAACATTGAAAAAAAAACAAAACAACAGCCTCGGGCACATTAACCGGGTCAACGGACACATCGGACAATAGGTGCAATCACGGCTTGGCACAGTCTTCCGGGTTTACGTCGAATGAGAAAACGAACGACGGTTCTCCGTCCGGACGTGTCGCCAGCGT